GGTGATGATGCTGAGTCCACCCGGAGTGAACCTCTCTGTAGAGGTGATGATGCTGAGTCCACCCGGAGTGAACCTCTCTGTAGAGGTGATGATGCTGAGTCCACCCGGCGTGAACCTCTCTGTAGAGGTGATGATGCTGAGTCCACCCGGAGTGAACCACTCTGTAGAGGTGATGATGCTGAGTCCACCTGGAGTGAACCTCTCTGTAGAGGTGATGATGCTGAGTCCGGAGTGAACCCTCTGTAGAGGTGATGATGCTGAGTCCACCAGAGTGAACCTCTCTGTAGAGGTGATGATGCTGAGTCCACCCGGAGTGAACCTCTCTGTAGAGGTGATGATGCTGAGTCCACCCGGAGTGAACCACTCTGTAGAGGTGATGATGCTGAGTCCACCGGGTGAACCTCTCTGTAGAGGTGATGATGCTGAGTCCACCTGGAGTGAACCTCTCTGTAGAGGTGATGATGCTGAGTCCACCCGGGTGAACCTCTCTGTAGAGGTGATGATGCTGGAGTCCACCTGGAGTGAACCTCTCTGTAGAGGTGATGATGCTGAGTCCACTCTGTAGAGGTGGGAGTGAACCTCTCTGTGAGAGGTGATGCTGAGTCCACCCGAGTGAACCCTCTGTAGAGGTGATGATGCTGAGTCCACCTGGGTGAACCCTCTGTAGAGGTGATGATGCTGAGTCCACCCAGAGTGAACCTCTCTGTAGAGGTGATGATGCTGAGTCCACCCGAGAGTGAACCTCTCTGTAGAGGTGATGATGCTGAGTCCACCTGGAGTGAACCTCTCTGTAGAGGTGATGATGCTGAGTCCACCTGGAGTGAACCTCTCTGTAGAGGTGATGATGCTGAGTCCACCCGGAGTGAACCTCTCTGTAGAGGTGATGATGCTGAGTCCACCCGGAGTGAACCTCTCTGTAGAGGTGATGATGCTGAGTCCACCCGGAGTGAACCTCTCTGTAGAGGTGATGATGCTGAGTCCACCCGAGTGAACCTCTCTGTAGAGGTGATGATGCTGAGTCCACCTGGAGTGAACCTCTCTGTACAGAGGTGATGATGCTGAGTCCACCTGGAGTGAACCTCTCTGTAGAGGTGATGATGCTGAGTCCACCTGGAGTGAACCTCTCTGTAGAGGTGATGATGCTGAGTCCACCTGGAGTGAACCACTCTGTAGAGGTGATGATGCTAGAGGTGATGATGCTGAGGTCCACCGGAGTGAACCTCTCTGTAGAGGTGATGATGCTGAGTCCACCCGAGTGAACCTCTCTGTAGAGGTGATGATGCTGAGTCCACCGGAGTGAACCACTCTGTAGAGGTGATGATGCTGGAGTCCACCGGAGTGAACCTCTGTAGAGGTGATGATGCTGAGTCCACCGGAGTGAACCTCTCTGTAGAGGTGATGATGCTGAGTCCACCCGAGTGAACCACTCTGTAGAGGTGATGATGCTGGAGTCCACCTGGGTGAACCTCTCTGTAGAGGTGATGATGCTGAGTCCACCGGAGTGAACCTCTCTGTAGAGGTGATGATGCTGAGTCCACCCGAGTGAACCTCTCTGTAGAGGTGATGATGCTGAGTCCACCCGGAGTGAACCTCTCTGTAGAGGTGATGATGCTGAGTCCACCTGGAGTGAACCTCTCTGTAGAGGTGATGATGCTGAGTCCACCCGGAGTGAACCTCTCTGTAGAGGTGATGATGCTGAGTCCACCCGGAGTGAACCTCTCTGTAGAGGTGATGATGCTGAGTCCACCTGGAGTGAACCTCTCTGTAGAGGTGATGATGCTGAGTCCACCTGGAGTGAACCTCTCTGTAGAGGTGATGATGCTGAGTCCACCTGGAGTGAACCTCTCTGTAGAGGTGATGATGCTGAGTCCACCCGGAGTGAACCTCTCTGTAGAGGTGATGATGCTGAGTCTACCTGGAGTGAACCCTCTGTAGAGGTGATGATGCTGAGTCCACTCTGGAGTGAACCTCTGTAGAGGTGATGATGCTGAGTCCACCCGAGTGAACCTCTCTGTAGAGGTGATGATGCTGAGTCCACCCGAGTGAACCACTCTGTAGAGGTGATGATGCTGAGTCCACCTGGAGTGAACCTCTCTGTAGAGGTGATGATGCTGAGTCCACCTGGGTGAACCTCTCTGTAGAGGTGATGATGCTGAGTCCTCTGTGGGTGAATGCTGAGTCTACTGGAGTCTCTGTAGAGGTGATGATGCTGAGTCTACCTGGAGTGAACCTCTCTGTAGAGGTGATGATGCTGAGTCCACCTGGAGTGAACCCTCTGTAGAGGTGATGATGCTGAGTCCACCGGAGTGAACCCTCTGTAGAGGTGATGATGCTGAGTCCACCTGAGTGAACCTCTCTGTAGAGGTGATGATGCTGAGTCACACCTGGAGTGAACCTCTCTGTAGAGGTGATGATGCTGAGTCCACCGGAGTGAACCTCTCTGTAGAGGTGATGATGCTGAGTCCACCCGGAGTGAACCTCTCTGTAGAGGTGATGATGCTGAGTCCACCCGGAGTGAACCACTCTGTAGAGGTGATGATGCTGAGTCCACCCGGAGTGAACCACTCTGTAGAGGTGATGATGCTGAGTCCACCTGGAGTGAACCACTCTGTAGAGGTGATGATGCTGAGTCCACCCGGAGTGAACCTCTCTGTAGAGGTGATGATGCTGAGTCCACCCGGAGTGAACCACTCTGTAGAGGTGATGATGCTGAGTCCACCCGGAGTGAACCTCTCTGTAGAGGTGATGATGCTGAGTCCACCCGGAGTGAACCTCTCTGTAGAGGTGATGATGCTGAGTCCACCGAGTGAACCCTCTGTAGAGGTGATGATGCTGAGTCCACCTCTGTAGAGTGAACCCCTCTGTAGAGGTGATGATGCTGAGTCCACCCGGAGTGAACCACTCTGTAGAGGTGATGATGCTGAGTCCACCCGAGTGAACCCTCTGTAGAGGTGATGATGCTGAGTCCACCCGGGAGGAACCTCTGTAGAGGTGATGATGCTGAGTCCACCTGGAGTGAACCTCTCTGTAGAGGTGATGATGCTGAGTCCACCCGAGTGAACCTCTCTGTAGAGGTGATGATGCTGAGTCCACCCGAGTGAACCTCTCTGTAGAGGTGATGATGCTGAGTCCACCCCGAGTGAACCTCTGTAGAGGTGATGATGCTGAGTCCACCGAGTGAACCTCTGTAGAGGTGATGATGCTGAGTCCACCGGAGTGAACCCTCTCTGTAGAGGTGATGATGCTGAGTCCACCCGGAGTGAACCACTCTGTAGAGGTGATGATGCTGAGTCCACCTGGAGTGAACCACCTCTGTAGAGGTGATGATGCTGAGTCCACCTGAGAGTGAACCTCTGTAGAGGTGATGATGCTGAGTCCACCCCGGAGTGAACCACTCTGTAGTAGAGGTGATGATGCTGAGTCCACCCGAGTGAACCTCTCTGTAGAGGTGATGATGCTGAGTCCACCGAGTGAACCTCTCTGTAGAGGTGATGATGCTGAGTCCACTCGGAGTGAACCTCTCTGTAGAGGTGATGATGCTGAGTCCACCTCGAGTGAACCTCTCTGTAGAGGTGATGATGCTGAGTCCACCGGAGTGAACCTCTGTAGAGGTGATGATGCTGAGTCCACCCGGAGTGAACCTCTCTGTAGAGGTGATGATGCTGAGTCCACCCGGAGTGAACCTCTCTGTAGAGGTGATGATGCTGAGTCCACCCGGAGTGAACCACTCTGTAGAGGTGATGATGCTGAGTCCACCCGGAGTGAACCTCTCTGTAGAGGTGATGATGCTGAGTCCACCCGGAGTGAACCTCTCTGTAGAGGTGATGATGCTGAGTCCACCCGGAGTGAACCTCTCTGTAGAGGTGATGATGCTGAGTCCACCCGGAGTGAACCTCTCTGTAGAGGTGATGATGCTGAGTCCACCCGGAGTGAACCTCTCTGTAGAGGTGATGATGCTGAGTCCACCCGGAGTGAACCTCTCTGTAGAGGTGATGATGCTGAGTCCACCCGGAGTGAACCTCTCTGTAGAGGTGATGATGCTGAGTCCACCCGGAGTGAACCTCTCTGTAGAGGTGATGATGCTGAGTCCACCCGGAGTGAACCTCTCTGTAGAGGTGATGATGCTGAGTCCACCCGGAGTGAACCTCTCTGTAGAGGTGATGATGCTGGAGTCCACCCGGAGTGAACCTCTCTGTAGAGGTGATGATGCTGAGTCTACCCGGAGTGAACCTCTCTGTAACACAGTCAACTTTCTGTTAACCGACAGTCATTGTGACAAATACAAATATCTCTGATGACACATGAATGATTAAATAAAATCTTGTAAATTTAGTAGACTCAGTATCACTAGAAGCTGAGTTGAGAAATAATATATTCTTTATTGTTTTCAAATTCAAATGGTTCATCGAACCCACCAAAATGATGCACCTACTTAACAGCACACAAAGTCAGCAATCCAACCCACTCAGCCACCAACGGTTTCACAAAAGTCTGACTACTCTGAGTGCACTTTTAAAGTTCATACAGCATTCATCATACAAAGCAGAAGAATTGTTTTTCATGTTTTTGCTTTGAAGTAAAATATTAGTTACCATGGTTACGTTGTGAGCCAGTGGGCTACTCCTGTCAAGCCTGGGCACTGTGGCTGTGTTTTCCATGTTTGTCAAGTTGGAAGATTGTATTAAAATCAAGATAAACCAAACCTGTTACAAAAGGATTGGGGGGGCAGTAGGGTAGTCAGTGGTTAAAGCATTCACTCATGACACCGAAGGCCTGGGTTTGTTTCCACACATCAGTACATTGTGTGAAGCTCATTTCTGATATCCCCCACCCTGATATTGCTGGAATATTGCTAAAAGCGGGTGTAAAATCCAACTCACTCACTCACAAAAGAATTTTGACACATTTTAGAATGCGTAACCTACAGTTAAGTACTTTGTGACTTTTGAAGAGGTCTTTCTCACTAATGTTCTGATTGTTTTGTTGTTTCTGTGATGCAGGACAGAGCGAGGTCATGGAGGTCGGACGGACCATCTGGATCACTTGCAGAACGATGTGAGCGAGGTGACCTCACTCCTCCGACAGAATGTAGAAGGTGTGTCCTACAGAGGAGACAAGATAGATGACCTCATTTTAGAAAGGTCAGTAACCTACAGTTACAAGCATATGAAAGGTGATTTCTCACCACATATTAGGACAAGTGTGAATACAGGTAGATATTATTGATATATACCCTACAGTTAAGTGACTACTGTAGATTTTGTAGAGGTATATATCATGAGATCAAGTGAACCTACAGATATTATCATATATATCATGAGGTCAAGTGAATACAGGCATATATTATTGATATATATCATGAGGTCAAGTGAATACACCACATATTATTGATATATATCATGAATCAAGTGAATACAGGTAGATATTATTGATATACTTCATGAGGTCTTTCTCACAATGTTCTGATTGTTTTATTCATGAGGTTTCTGTGATATCAGGACAGGTAGAGATCATATTGATATATATCATGGGTCAAGTGAATACAGGTAGATGATTATTGATATATCATGAGGTCAAGTGAATCCGAGGAGACAAGATATTATGACCTCCAGGAAAGGTCAGGTGGGTACAGCATATAAAGTTGATGTATATCATGAGGTCAAGTGAATACAGGTAGATATTATTGATATATACCATGAGGTCAAGTGAATACAAGGTAGATATTATTGATATATATCATGAGGTCAAGTGAATACAGGTAGATATTATTGATATATATCATGAGGTCAAGTGAATACAGGTAGATATTATTGATATATATCATGAGGTCAAGTGAATACAGGTAGATATTATTGATATATATCATGAGGTCAAGTGAATACAGGTAGATATTATTGATATATACCATGAGGTCAAGTGAATACAGGTAGATATTATTGATATATATATACCATGAGGTCAAGTGAATACAGGTAGATATTATTGATATATATCATGAGGTCAAGTGAATACAGGCATATATTATTGATATATATTGATATATATCATGAGGTCAAGTGAATACAGGTAGATATTATTGATATATACCATGAGGTCAAGTGAATACAGGTAGATATTATTGATATATATCATGAGGTCAAGTGAATACAGGTAGATATTATTGATATATATCATGAGGTCAAGTGAATACAGGCATATATTATTAGATATATGATATTGATATATACAGGTAGATATCATGAGGTCATGAATACAGGTAGATATTATTGATATGTATCATGAGGTCAAGTGAATACAGGTAGATATTATTGATATATATCATGAGGTCAAGTGAATACAGATAGATAGTATTGATATATATCATGAGGTCAAGTGAATACAGGTAGATATTATTGATATGTACCATGAGGTCAAGTGAATACATAGTATTTTTTATATATCATATCATGAATTGATATATATTGATATATATCATGAGGTCAAGTGAATACAGGCATATATTATTGATATATATCATGAGGTCAAGTGAATACAGGCATATATTATTGATATATATCATGAGGTCAAGTGAATACAGGCATATATTATTGATATATACCATGAGGTCAAGTGAATACAGGTAGATATAGGTAATATATACCTTGAGGTCAGATTAATACTTCAGATATAGGTGATGTATACCTTGAGATCAAGTGAATACCAACAGATATTGTTGATATACAGTGAGACCCCGGACTGAAAATCTTGATATCTGGATTTCTGTCATCCAGGCTTAGGTGTTGAAACGGTAGCGAGCATACACTTCTGGGTTGAAATCACTTCCAAAACAGCATGGTCGTTTTGATTTGCCAATTACAATTCACTCAGTGTCGGATAGGCCTACTAATCACCACCAATACCCTGCTGGTCGGTCATTAATCCGGATTAGCACTTCACATGGTCAGCCTTAGATCAAAGCTTCGTGCGGATAAGTGAGTCAATTTTGTGTTGATTTAGACGGTTGGTTTGTAAAATTAACCGTCCGGGAACGGAAACCACATATCCATTATAGACAGTCACTTTATAACATAAGAGATTGTTTTTTTATGAAAATTGACCAGAAGGCGAGGTTTCCAGATATTTGGGGTCCGGGTATCCGGGGTCTCACTGTATATGTAATATATGTAATATTTACCTTGACGTCAAGCAATTTACCTTGACGTCAAGCAAATGCAGGCAGATATAGGTGATATCTACACAATGAGGTCAAACAATACAGGCAGTTATAGGTGCAGATATAGGTGATAGATCTTGTGAAGTGAATAATGTGAATACAGGCAGATATAAGATATATATACCATGAGGTGAGTTGAATACAGGCAGATATATGGTGATATATACCATTAGGTGGAAGTGAATACAGGCAGATATAGGTGATATATACCATGGTCACAGGTGAAGATTAATACAGGCAGATATTTTATTTATTCATTTGATATATCAATCATCTCATGAGGTGAAGTGAATCACAAAGGCTTCATATACAGATATCAGAGGTGAACATATACTGATGTGATCTCCAGGTACTGTGAATGCAGGCAGATGTTGATATATACCATGACATCAAGTGAATACAGGCAGATGATCAGTTGATACTGATTTGCGAATAATGACATCTAAACTGTCAAGTGAATACAGGCAGTTTACAGTATACCATGAGGTGAAGTGAATACAGGCAGATATGAATACAGGCAGATATAGGTGATATATACCATGGCGTTGCAGATGATATACCAGGCAGATGTTGATATATACCATGACAGGTGAATACAGGCAGATGTTGTTGATATATACCATGACATCAAGTGAATACAGGCAGATGTTGCTGATATATACCATTATGTCAGGTGAATACAGGCAGATGTTGTTGATATATACCATGACGTCAGGTGAATGCAGGCAGATGTTGATATATACCATGACATCAAGTGAATACAGGCAGATGATTTTGATATATGACATCAAGTGAATACAGGCAGATGTTGTTGATATATACCATGACGTCAGGTGAATACAGGCAGATATTGTTGATATATACCATGACATAAGGTGAATACAGGCAGATGTTGATATATACCATGACGTCAGGTGAATAAAGGTAGACAGAGGTGAGCCTTATTAGGATATATTCCAGGAATCTGAATCTATAAATCTGGAGATAAAAAGCACTAAAGAAATAACCACCGCGACTGTTTTTGTGTTGACAGAGGATTTGGAATCAGGCTCCATCAATTTCAAGAAGACATCTGTTCGACTGAAGAAGAAAATGTGTTGGCAGAACTGTAAGATGAACTGTATTATTGCCATCGTTGCTGTCATCATCGTTTCGCCATCATCGTGATCATCATTGTTGGTGAGTAACAGTTGTAGCCATGGACAACATGATTCACCATTGATTCAAATACAGTAGAATACTTTTATAACGAACACAGATATAACGAACTGACGGCTATAGCGAACTGTTTCAAAAGTCCTGAATAAACCTTATATTATCATATAAAAAAGTGAATAGCAAACTATGAGATATAACGAACTAATTTCAGTGGTCCCTTTGAGTTCGTAATAAAGGTATTTTACTGTAGACACAGTTAGACAAGCATGGGGCTTTTAATAGATATATTCTCCATTTTTATGATAGTATACTTTGTGTGGTAAATCCTGTGTACGAGATAAAGTATGACCTGGCCAAATGATCACATGACATTGTGCCCTGATGTCATAGATTGTTGTGTGCCAAATATGGATACTCTGATGTACGACTTCATTTCCGCCAGTTCCTGGTTGTTTGTCCAGCAGGGGTGACCCTGTCATTGTAGATGCCTCTATTCACTCTGCGGAGTTGTGTCCCTTGGTAGTGACACCCTCTTGTGATTGCAAATCAAATAGCTGTGAGGTGCCCTAATTTTTATTTTTGCAAAGTGTGCTGGTGGGTTTCACCTGAGTAGTAAACATGCATCCTCCATTTTACAGGAATCTGAATCTATATAGCTAATACTCCATGATGTGACTGAAATATTGCTCATATATCTGATGCATGCAGGGCCTTGTGTCTAAAGCATTCACTGTTCACCTAGAACGCCCAGATTCAATTCCCCACATAAAATATGGGAAGATCGTTTCTGGTGTCCCCCATCCTGATATTGCATAAATTGTGTAAGTTAGAGTTACCCCATTGGCACACGAGAGGTTCGTCTAGTTACAACACGGTTTGTCCTGGCTTTAGATTGACAGACGTAGGGCATGAGGGCATAGCCCGAGATGCCACTACGCCTGTCAATCAAAAGCAAGGACAAATCGTGTTGTAACTAGACGAACCTCAAGTTGTGGGTGGGGTAACAGACGTGTACCATGAGATTTTGGCGGTGTGTAAAACAAAGTGGCACCATATGACGTCATGAATATCACGTCATACGCGCCATCTTAGGTCGTTTCAAGTTCTCAAAAATTAATTCTCAACCATGGAGGACATGGCAACAACTTTCATACCCAGCAGTGATAGCGTGAATGAGTGGAATGATGGAATTGATGATATTACACTTTCCCAAGTTGGTGAGGCGATGGAGTTGAAATCATGTTCATTTTTTCCTAAATAAATTTGTCAACATTGTACTTGTTTTTATGTTCTACAATGTATCTCAACTTCCTTCTGGCGAAACCTGTTTACGATAATGTCATAGTTTCGGCACACGAAAGGGGCGGAGCAAGCATTATCCAGTGAGAATCAGTAGGGCGAAACCATGTAGTAACTAGCAGGTTACAACATGGGCAACATCAAAGAGACCGCCACAAAGCCATGGTACAGTTGTTTGATTGGCGTTCTAGAAGCTGGTGAGTAAATAGGAAAGCATACAACTTCATGGAAAACATCTACTTGCATAGAGCGGCGTTTTGAAGTAGACATATGACGATGTGAGGATCTACATCGAAACATTGCTCTATGCAATAAAAGTTATCCTTAAAGTTGTATGCTTCGGTATGAAGTGGTGTGAAACCAAAGTCACTATAACTATGCAATGTTGTCGCCAACTCATCAGCTGTTGTTTCTTACAGTTGAAGTAAAGCCCGGAAGTTCTGGAGGGGGAGGTAGTCACAACAGCACACTTAGCCTGGAAGACTGACCTCATGTGGAGGGAGGTTTATGGAAGAGCTGAGACACAACAGCTATAGTCTGTTTGCAATGAAAACGTACTGATGAATTTCACTTTAAACAAAAAAGTTAATCAAATAAAGTAAAATTAAGATTGCAAATCCTCATAATTTTACCTTGACAACTGAACATGTAAATCTCAGAAATTTATTCAACTTATGATAAAAGTTGTTTTACAAAAGATCATAGTTTCAAATCGCTATTATTGGTTTGTATTACAAGGGGGTTCGCGCAGTAATTGGAACAGTGAAACAAATGCCCGTGCGGTGCGTGATGAGCGTTAACTTAGACTACCGTAGAAACCAACCCTTCTTGTTCTCTGGGTTTCATTTAATGTGCATACCCCCTTGTAATACGATCCAATAATAGCGATTTGAAACTATGATCATTTGTTAAACAACTTTTATCCTAAGTTGACTAAAAGTCTGAGATTTTAAATGTTCAATTTGAAAGGTAAAATTATGAGGATTCGAAATCTTAATTTCACTTTATTTGATTTACTTTTTTGTTTAAAGTTAAATTCATCGGTACGTTTTCAAATCAAACAGACTATAGATGCCCGACAGGGCCGTTGCATTTCTTTTTCATGTTTGTCTCATGTTTTCTCACTTGTATTAATGGACGAATGGCTGTTGTTTGATGTTTTATGAACAATGATACTTACATGTATATTTCAACGGTGACACAGAGTAAGATATTGTGAATGAATGCTGTGAACTGTCTTGTACAAGTAAGACGGACCGATCACCTTGGACACATCGCTTCTGTATGGTTGTCATGTCATTGTTTGGGTGTTGAGAGAATTACAGATTTCATGATGATGATTAGAGAACACAGAAGCTGATTATGTATACGATGCTACATGCCCTGTGGCATTGCTGACTTCCTACTGATATCATGTTGGCTTTATACTGATATCATGTTGACTTTATACTGATATCATGTTGACTTAATACTGATATCATCATGACTTAATACTGATATCACTTGTTGACTTTATACTGATATCATGTTGACTTAATACTGATATCATGTTGACTTAATACTGACATCATGCTGACTTAATACTGATATCATGACTTTATACTGATATCATGTTGACTTAATACTGATATCATGCTGACTTAATACTGATATCATGTTGACTTAATACTGATATCATGTTGACTTAATACTGATATCATGTTGACTTAATACTGATATCGCTGACTTAACTGACTTATATCATGACTTAATACTGATATCATGACTTAATACTGATATCATGTTGACTTAATACTGATATCATGACTTAATACTGATATCATGCTGACTTTACTGATACTGACTGACATCATGCTGAGGAGCCTTGCAATTGAAGCAATTCATATGCTCAAACCCTCTCTTGATCCATTCCAGTCCTGGAACATAAACTGCAAAGGCTTTCTTGAAAACACAGTTCTCTTATAACCTCGATTTGACCCTGGCAAATTAAGGTGCCCCTCCCATCTGATTCTCTCCCACCTCTACCTGGGATGAAGTTAGGTGGGTCTCCATGAATTCAGGATGTTTTCTACTGTCAGGTTATGAAAAATATTATTTTGATACATTTTTACTGATTGAAATAAAACAAGAATATTTTATGGATTATATTTGTTTTTGTGAGTTTGTTTACCTCCAAGAGAGATTATCTGGTTCAGACATGATCATTTACAGTGTGCTGTAACAAGTGGCTACACGTGGGATATAGCTTCATTTCTAAGCAACAGAATCACAGACACACACACTGTGAGTGAGTGGGGGAGATTAATTTTACACTGCTTTTAGCAATATTCCATAAATATGGCGGGGGACACCAGAAATGGGCTGAACACATTGTGCCCATGTGGGGAACGAACCCGAGTCTTCAGTGTGATGAGCAAACGCTTTAACCACTAGTCGACATCCCCGCCATAGTAGTAGTAGTAGTAGTAGTAGTAGTAGTAGTAGTAGTAGTAGTAGTAGTAGTAGTAGTGTTGGTGGTGAGTATTGTAATATCCCCCCGATGATATCATTTAAGTCTCACCACAAATAACAAGAAAATTGTCAGGTTGATGGTATGGTACTAACTAGAGTACAGAGGACAAATCTATCTGCCTGGATATATTACTTCTGAAAGGCGTCAATGTACATTCAACCATTGCACACATCATAATACAATCAATGTATCAACATCAGAGAGCACCCACTGGAACCAGTTCCTACGCTCCGCCGTAGACAAGTTTAATGCCGTAGACGTTTCACCCTCTACTACTATGTTGTAGTAGGTGGTGGTTGTTGTGTGTTGGCGGATATTCCTCAAAGTGACAACACAAGTCCGTCTGCGGGTCCACAACGTTTTATTGTCAGCTGTTTAACTAGGAGCTTAGAGCTCAGCTCCCAGTTTCTAACTCGCCAACTAGCGCTCATTGATTTGACGACATCTCAGGTCTGATAATCAGACTGTATTCCTAAAATGGTAATATGGCAAGACCATGTGGAACCTCGTCCACAACCCACATGCCTCTCGTGCAGTGGTCATCAGGATCATCCTACTCCTGACCTAATAAGACCATAGCAGAAATCCACAGTCCCAGAATTTCAAGAGTATGTTTAAATCATGCACCCATTATCAGGCCAACGACCACACAGCTGACCAGTACATGCCTGACCTGTAACCTCGTTACATCCCCCATGCGGTGTTAGCTAAGAGGAGAAGGAGGCTATCGGTATATTGTACTTGATATACGACCCAGCCATTATAGTGTATGTGGAGTTATAGCCCTGTATAGTGTATGTGGTATACAGTACATTGCATGATATACGTATACAGTATATTGTCAAGATATACTGTATAGTGTATGTGGCAAACCTGTATACTGTATAGTGTATGTGGTATGGTATACAGTATATTGCACTTGATATACTGTATAGTGTATGTGGTATACAGTATATTGCACTTGATATACTGTATAGTGTATGTGGTATACAGTATATTGCACTTGATATACTGTATAGTGTATGTGTGGTATACAGTATATTGCACTTGATATACTGTATAGTGTATAGTGTATGTGGTATACAGTATATTGTACTTGATATACTGTATAGTGTATGTGGTATACAGTATATTGCACTTGATATAGTGTATAGTGTATGTGGTATACAGTATATTGCACTTGATATACTGTATAGTGTATGTGGTATACAGTATATTGCACTTGATATACTGTATAGTGTATAGTGTATGTGGTATACAGTATATTGTACTTGATATACTGTATAGTGTATAGTGTATGGTATACAGTATACACTTGATATACTGATATACTGTATAGTGTATGTGGTATACAGTATATTGCTGTAGTGTACTTGATATACTGTATACTGGTGTGTACACAATGTGTGTATACAGTATATTGCACTTGATATACTGTATATGATATTGTGTATAGTGTATGTGGTATACAGTATATTGCACTTGATATACTGTATAGTGTATGTGGTATACAGTATATTGCACTTGATATACTGTATAGTGTATGTGGTATACAGTATATTGCACTTGATATACTGTATGTATAGAGTGTATGTGGTATACAGTATATTGTACTTGATATACTGTATAGTGTATTAATACAGTGTATAGTGTATGTGGTATACAGTATATTGCACTTGATATACTGTATAATTGTATAGTGTATGTGGTATACAGTATACTTGATATACTTGATATACTTGATATACTGTATAGTGTATGGTGTATGTGGATATACAGTATATTGTATATTGCACTTGATATACTGTATAGTGTATGTGTGTATACAGTATATTGCACTTGATATATACTAGTGTATGTGGTATACAGTATAGTGATATACTGTATGATATACATTATATTGCTGTATTGATATACCTGTATAGTGTATGTGGTATACAGTATATTGTACTTGATATACTGTATAGTGTATAGTGTATGTGGTATACAGTATATTGCTGTCCTTGACTTGATATGGTGTATAGTGTATGTGGTATACAGTATATTGCACTTGATATATGTGTATAGTGTATATGGTATACAGTATATTGTATGTGGTATACCTTGATATACTGTGTATAGTGTATGTGTATGTATGGTATACAGTATATTGCACTTGATATACTGTATAGTGTATGATATACTGTATACAGTATATTGCACTTGATATACTGTATACTGTATGTATGTGGTATACAGTATATTGCACTTGATATACTGTATAGTGTATGTGTATGGTATATAGTATATTGTATGTACTTGATATACTGTATGGTGTATGTGGTATATACTTGATATATACTGTATAGTGTATGTGGTATACAGTATATACAGTATATTGCACTGTGATATACAGTATATTGCACTTGATGTATAGTGTATGTGGTATACAGTATATTGTACTTGATATACTGTATAGTGTATGTGGTATACAGTATATTATTCTTGATATACTGTATAGTGTATGTGGTATACAGTATATTGCACTTGATATACTGTATACTGCATGTGATACTACTTTAAACCCAACTGTACGTGGAGTGCATTAATTTAAATAAACGGAATATCTAAAAATATTTTAAGGAATGAGCGTGTAGTTCTGTTTTATATTGAGGTTATCGTATACAGAATTGTAACAGGGGCGGTGGGGTAGCTTAGTGGTTAAAGCGCCCGATCGTCACGACGAAGGTTACGGTTTCGATACCCAACGTGAGTACAATGTGTGAAGCCCATTTCTGGTGTCCCCCTAAAATGATATTGCTGGCATATTGCTAAAAGCAGCATAAAATTCACTCACTAACTCTTAATTCGGAAACAAAGTCAGCGTTTGCGAGACATATACAGGACACGACATGGTATCGATTAAAGACGAACTGAGGACGGATGTCCTTGTCACGGACAATGTCTGTGGGAAGAAGATTAATGACAATACAGAT